TCCCCAAGCTCTCACAGGAGGACCCAGATGGAGATCTCCAACCTAGGCTCCCTCTCTGCATTAGCCCTTCTGATGACAACTGGGCTAGGCACTGATCTATGAGTATAGCAGAACATCATCAGGAATCATTTTTCTAGTTTTTGTTTATATATATATATATATGTATATGTATATGTATATGTATATGTATATGTATATGTATATGTATATGTATATGTATGTATATATATATTTCATATTCTGCATCTCTATGTTTAATGTCCAAGTGTATTTCAGGTCTCCACCTCCTTTCCATTTTGTTGACTGCAACACACGCCTCTCTCATGCTGTGGTTCCATACCTAGTCCACAGATCTTCTTGGCAGGTATCCCACGGCTCTAGCATCTCCAGCATCTCATGGTCTACAGCAAAGTCCGGACTTCACCTTCACAGTTTCTCTGGGTCTCCATGCAGGGACACTTGACACACATCTGGCCTCCATAGCTTTCTCTAGTCATGGAGGAAGATTCCACAGCCCCTCTCTTGTACCCTTGACTCCGAAGCTGTAACCATGTGGCTGAGGCTGGCACCGTCTGCTTCTTATCACAGGGTTTTATTTCAGTCAGTTATACAAACTTGAAAGCTTCTCTGAAAATAACTTTATATTTTTTATTCTAAAATACCAGATCATTCATCTTAAAAAGCAACAGTTATGCTACTGAGTAATTTAAATGTGTTCTGATAGAGAACCACTAATTTCAATTAATTTACTGGCACTAGTTTAAAGAAAAACCTAGCTATACAAAAGGAAAACACAATTTAATGGCTATTATTTAAAGTTGTCATGAACAGGAACCTCTGAGGCCAAAAGGAAGATGCACCTGTCTCCTTACATTTATTTAACAGCCATACAAACAAGCACATATTTACCTTAAATATTTTTCAATTTTTATAACCACCTGAAATAAGTCCCATCGATCTTCAAATAGCCCTCCAACCACTCATCAAGTTCCAATCAATGTTACATATGCTAATACTTTCAAACTATAGGGAGAATAACAAAAGTTCCCACTCAGAAATATAATAAATATTTTACCGCCTTGATTTCCCAAGCATATGAGAAACCAACTTAAGAGTTATACTTGAACATGTTATCAATCATCAGCAGGCGATTTGTCTGACCTCCAAGAAAGGCACATGCTGGTTTGTCCCAACACAGCCTCACATATTGTCAGCAAAGGGAAACATACAGCAAGTGGAACCTGTTTCCCAACAGTCAATAATCATCACTGTATCTCAACAACTCCATGGTTTGAACCTTACCTATTTGAAACCCAGACAGATAAAACATGGTGACTGAGGTATTAGATAGTTTGCTGTGTGTTCACATTTGCCAGCTTTCTTTTGGATATGGAGAAGATAAAGCAAGAATGAAAGGTGATGGCAGAGAAATTGCTGACAGCAGAGAATGCACACCTGAAACCCAACACTTTGGCAACATCCACAGCCTGAGAAAGGGCTCACCTGCAAGTCTCTGAACTTACATAAACAAGGTTCCTTTTAAAAAATAAAATTTTATCAATCAACATGAAAGCTTCAAACAATATCACTGAATAGAACTTTCTTAAATCCATAAACTATGCTGCTTAATAGAATCTTTATTTTGCTTCTATTTTCAAACTTGTAACTAGAAAGCCCTCAATACTCCCAGCCCCACCTCCCCAAAACTGCTTTCAAACTAAAGATTTCTGGCTCATGTCTAAAAAAATCAATCAGCTTTATTACTTAGGAGACTGTTGTCATTTCATATTGCAGCTGACTGTAATTTGTTAAATTATAAACAAGTTTAATACATTATGAAGTGAAATGAACCCTATTTGTGTAAAAAGCAACTACATTTTAATTATGAACCAAAAACATCTGATCAGTAAACACAAACTAAAAATTAAGACACTAAATACAATGCTAGAAAATTTCACAGTGGGAGAGTCAATGAAAATTCTTTTCTACATACATTATGATTAATCAACTAATAAATCTTAATCAGAATCATAAGGTGAAAATAGCAAAACCATGTTTTTCTCATAAAATGTTACACATCGTCTTCTATAGGGATAGCCATCATATGTGGAGAAACAAAAGTGTGCTCACTCTCCCGCATTCTCAGGAGCATTGGGCAATCTCGTCTTAGAATGAGCTAGTCATCTTCTTCCTCTCAATCATCTTTAGCATCTAGTTTCCTTTTCTCTCCCTGAAGACGACCTTCCATTTCCTTCTCTTCCCCTTCATCAGTATAATTCTCCCACTGAATTCATTTTCATGAAGTATTAGGCTGACACCTCCCATCTGAACCTCCTTCATGTCCCTCTTCCTTCTCTTCATAAACTTCAGGTGAACCAGCTTCACCTTCATCTTTATCTTCATCCTCCCTAAATCTGGTGCTTCATTATTCTCCTGACAGAATCCACCTATGTATGTAATTTGCTGCAGCAATTCCAAAAGACTTTCTCTGTAATCTTCCAGGTTTGTAACCTCAGTTAAGCAAGTTAGAACTTCAATTTTTAAAGATTTTTGCAAAGCTTCTACTGTGCTGGGGTCTTTGATTTAAAAAATTTCCACTCAGACTGAGGTAGGTAAGATTTAGACATAGACTCTGGATATTATATTGCCACTATGTTCCCACTTTCCAAGTTGATTTAAGCTGGGAAGCAAAGCTAATAGCTAAATTCTATATTGACCAACTGAGAAACTCAAGTTCCTCTTAAAGTGTCATTCAGACCTTCAATTTCCTCATTTACATGCAAGCCACTGCCAAGAACTAACTGTCACCTTCTCCAGGGTTCTGTTCTTCAACTCTTCTATGTCCTTATTCTATGATTCGGCTACAATGCTCCTCCTTCCCCATCTCCTGCCCTTTCCATTACCTCCAACCCTAAAAAATGTGTAGATTTAGAAATGAGCGAAAAGCAAACACAAATGCCAACTACGACCCAAGGCAAGGAAGAGAAAGAAAAGAACAGCAACTAGAGTCCAGTGAGCTGAGATTCTGCTGGGAATTAAACCTGGGTCTTCTAGAAGTTCAGCCATGCTCTTAATCCCTAAGCCACCTCTCCAGCCTGATAGAGGAGTTCTGATGCTCAACGACACAGGGGGATTCAAGAGTGTTTTCATTTGTGCCAACATTTGTCCCACTGTTGTTTCTCATTATTGTACAGCTTTTGACTTAGCATAGTTATAAATACATCTGTATACAATTTCATCTTTAAAATTAGATTGTATCTTATTATTTTATATAAAGAAATTGTGATTTAAAAAGGAACATAGGTACAAAAATATTATCAAGCCTACAAGTGTGGTGGGACATACCTTCACACAGCAATTAGGAGGTAAAGGCAGGTGATCTCTTTGGTTCAAGATCAACCTGGTCTAAAACAGAATTCCAGGCCAGCCACAACTACATAGTGATACCCTGTATCAACAAACAAACACAATCACAAGGGAATTGAAGCTCTCATATTTTATTAGAGTAAATGTAAAGTGGTGTAACCTCTGGCAAATAATTTGTTATAAAATTAAATATACATTTACACATAACTCGGAAATGTTATTTGTACAGAAATAAACACTCTTATATGTATAAAACTACATATGCTTACAGCTCTGTAATAATCAAAATTGGAAATACTTAAAGTCCTTTAATGGATAAAAGCAGGCAATAGAATACTACTCAGCCCTTAAACAGAACAAAATACTGATACAGAAAAGAACTTGGATGCATATGAAGGATACTACGCTGAGTGAAAGAAACGAGTCTCAGAAGATTATATGCTATATAATTCCACTTATATAAGAAGGTTATATGCTGTATAATTCCATTTATGTAACATCCCCAAAGACACAAGTGTAGTCATAGAGAACAGCAGCCAGCTATAGAATGGGGGAACTACCACAAGGAGATAACCCTAAAAGATTTTTTAAAAAGATGATATGACTATGTCTAGATTGTGGTGTGTGTATGTGTCTATTCTAATATATATTAAATATATATATATATTAGAATAGACAAATATACACAT